AGTCTTCAGGTTGCTGTTGTACTGTTGGCTAGACGAGATCTGTTTCATATGTGTTCATTCTGAAACCCTGGTTGAGAGGGGAGCAACAACTTCCCTGGGGGTAAAGCTCTTCTTAGGGCAATACAAAACTGCAAGAGAGCAAGCCTAATCATCTGGTTATTAATAGTCAAACCTTTGTTCAGGTCATATCTGTTAACATTCCCTTGGCCAAAGAAAGACCAATCCCAGAGTCAAGGGACGGGAGGTACATTGGAAGGGGAAAGAGTGACTATTCTGAAAAGTAACCCAATCTAATGTAACTAATATCTGAGCTTTTAAAACTCTGCATTATATTAATTTACAAAAAATTAGTGCTGACTCAAGTCCATTTCAGGTCTTGATGGTGATGCAGATGTCTTGGCAGTGTTAACTCAGTGTCTCTCTCTGAATCTGCCAATCCATGTCTTTTGCCATTTTTACTCCATCATGGCTGTCTCATGCTAAAACATGCCATCAGCATGGTTTTCTCCTTAGAGTTCACTTTGGAGAGTGGATGAAAACAGCTTGTCTTCATTTTGGTTTTCCTTCCATGTACTGAACCCCTCCTTGGTTCTTGAAGCACACATCTGACCACTTGCCTCCCCTATTTTCTGAGCTCCTTCAAGGTGAAAGGGGGTGGCTTTTGTCTGCTTCCTTGTAAATAGCCAAATGTGAAATCACTCCAGAATTCCCCAAACATTATTTTCTTAAAATGTCACCAAAAGATTTAAAGACATTTAAAATTTTTGCACAGTGCAGAGTGCTGCATAATGAATGTATTTACATTTAATTTAAATAAACACCCTGCCCACAATTATAAGGGTCATATGAAATAATATATGAAAGTGCTTTGTAAAGTAACAAGAAAAAAAAAAACCATGACATTTCTTGAGAATAAAACTTTTTTAATATATAAATGGAAACTTTAGAAAGCACTAACATTGAAAATATTGTTTGATCTCATACATTGTTGGTGGGAGCTTTAAGTAGTTCAGCTTCTGTGGAATTGTTCATATGCATTTCCCATAAGCCAATACACACGAATTTACCCTCCAGTAATAACTGCATGAAGCACCTCTGGTGGCATAGTGCTTAAGGCATTTGACTGCTAACCAGAGGTTGGTGGTTCAAACCCACCAGTTGCTCTGTGGAAGGAAGATGGGGTTATCTACTTCTGTAGAGATTTACTGCCTCAGAAATCCAAAGTGGGTAGCTATGAGTCAGAATGGAGTCGATAGCAGGTTTTTTTTTTAAATACCTGCATGAGTTGTTATATTGTTAGGTGCTATCAAGTTGTCTCCGACTCATAGCAACCCTGTGCCCAGCAGAACAAAACATTGCTCAGTCCTGTGCCAGCCTCATGATCTTTGCTATACCTGAGCCCATTGTTGCAGCCACTGTGTCAATCCATCTTGTTGAAGACCTTCCCCTTTTTCATTGACCCTCCACTTTACCAAGCATGATATCCTTCTCCAGGGAATGATTCCTTCTGACAACATGACCAAAGTAGGTGAGACAAATCTGGCCATGCTTGCTTCCGAAGAGCATTCTGGTTGCACTTCTTCCGGGCAGATTGGTTAATCCTTGCATATGGTTCTTATTTAGCCTTACTGAAACCCTTTTAGCAGTCCACGGTAATCTTAGCATTCTTCTCCAACACAACTCAGAATCAACTCTTCTTCTGTCTTCCTTATTCATTGTCCAGCTCTCATATGCATAGGAGGTGATTGAAAATACCACGGCTTGGATTAGGCATACCTTAGTTTTCAAGTGCCTAAGGCACGTGACTGCTAACCAGAAGGCTGATGGTTCAAACCCACCAGCCACTCCTTGGAAGGAAGATGGGGCAATCTACTTCTGTAGTGATACTGTCCCGGAAACCCAAGGAGGGGTCGCTATGAGTCGGGTCTGACTTGATGGCACATAACAACAACAGCAACAAGTCTTCAAGGAGACATCTTTGCTCTTCATCACTTGAAAGAGGTCTTTTGCAGCAGATTTGCCCAATGCAACACGTCGTCTGATGTCCTGACTGCTGCTTCCATTGGTGTTGATTGTAGAACCAAGTAATATGAAGTCCTTGAAAACTTCAGTCTTTTCTCCATCCATCATGAAGCTGTTTATTGGACCAGTTGTGAGGATTTTTGTTTTCTTAATGTTATGGTGAATCCATACTGCAGACTGTAGTCTTTAATCTTCATCAGTAAGTGCTTCAAGTCATCCTTACTTTCAGCAAGCAAAGCTGTGTCCTCTGCGTATCACAGGTTGTTAATGATCTTCCTCCAATCCTGATGCCACATTTTTCTTCATATAATCCAGCTTCTTGGATTATTTGCTCAGCATACAAATTGAGTAAGTATGGTGAAAGGATACAATCCTGTGAGTAGGACTTATGTATAAAGTTAACAGTGCAGCACTACCCCTACAGAAATGACTGGAAATAACCTAAATGTTCATCAGTAAATAAACTATGGAACATTCTCACAATGGCATAGTATCCATCTGGGAAAGAAAAACAGGGGAATTCTATTTATTTTCATATAGATCTTCAAGATACCTTATTAAGGGGAAAAGTAAGTGCAGAGCAACGTACTTAGTCTACTACATTTCTGTGAAAAGGAAAATAGTCTATTTATGCATAAATACTGGAAGGATTCTTAAGAAAGTAAGGTTGGTTAGTGGGCGTGTGGGAGTTGGGAATGGGAGCATGGCTTTTCAGTGTAACCCTAATCATTTTGGGTTTTGAAGCTAGTAAAAGTACTAATAATCAAAAATTTTACAAAAATAAAACTTGAGATAAATTTAATCAATCAAGTACTTGTAAGATAGATGTATGTGCTCAGCATTACTGTACTCCTGTGGACGAAGTAGCAGCATTAGGAGTTTAACATTTAGAGATAAGCGAAAACACACGAAATTGCCTGGTGTAACTACACGAAGTCACTTTGGATGGCGCGACCGAAGTGTGGGAACAAAGCCCAGGAAGACCCTGAAGAACGAGTGTTAACAGGTCGGAAGTGAAACAGGAGGGGGTCCCAGGAAAGAGGAACAATGCAAATGGAGAAATAAACACAAGAAATGCCACGAACAAATCTATATTTTATAAAAAACATTTACAATAAGCCGCAGCGGCTCTGAGAGACCGGCGTCCCATCTTTCGGCTTCTCCAAAAAGGTTAAATTCGGGGGTGGGGGGTTGGGGGCAGGCTGGACTGTGCCATTCGTAGGATGGATTTCGAGCGGGTGCATGAACCGCGATTTTTTGGGTGCTAACTGTAGCGAAGTGCCTAAAGCACCTGACTGCTAACCAGAAGGCTAGCAGTGCAAACCTACCAGCCACTCCTCGGAAGGAAGGTTGGGCAATCTACTTCCGTAGTGATACTGCCTCCGAAACCCAAGAAGGGTGACTATGAGTCGGTCTGACAGGAAGGCACATAAAAACAAGAATTCCACTTGAGGGAACTGAAAATATCCCTGGATGCACAATCCAGATACTAAAGCGACTCTAGTGCGCCACCAGGCCGCTCCCACGAGTCTCAGAGGTGGATTCGCCGGATGTGACGTAACGTGACACGATCCGGCCCGAGTCTCGCATTTATAGGGGAGCAGGTGACGCGCGTGTGCGCAGTGCGGGACGGGGGCGGGGCCGGGCTGTCGGCTTCCGTTGAGGTCCTCCCGGGCGCAGAAGAGCAGCGGAGGAGGCCTTGGTGCTGTGTGTGTGGGAGACGCGAGGTCAGGTCGGGCTAAAGGGGAGCGCGGCGCGTGCGCATGCGGCGCGGGGGCCCTGGACACTCCAGACCTTAGCGGGGCCACGTGGCTTTGGTGCGGGGGCTTAGGAAGGTAGACCACTCCTACCGCCAGGCATCTATTCTCAGATGAGGTTCCTGAACCGTTCCGATCCCTCCTGTGGGTATGGTTGCGTTTGATAAACATGGCACTTTGTCTAAGCAGTCTTGTTGCTTTTGACTGTTAACCGTAGTAAGCATTTCTACAAAAGAGCTTCCAAAGTCCTGTGCATAACACCTCAATGATTTCGACCTAGTTAATGCTGTGTGTTGAAATCATTTTATTGAAAATCTGTTTTGCTTGGACAGCAAACTCTCCAGGAAAAAAAAAAAATCGGGCTAAAAGTTACAGCTGTGTGCAAAGAGAGATAATAGCTGGATTAGACTTTAGTGAAGGGAATTTCCATCTTTGTCAATCATAAAAAATGTGTTAAAAGAGTTTGACACTCTTAAATACCCCAAAAAAGTTTTTATTACAGTTATTGGAAGTTAAAAAAAAAAGTTCCCTTCAAAAATCTTACAGAGTGATTACTAACCACCGAGTATTTAATTAAATGCCTATAAAATTAAGTTTATTCGTTTCTCTGGGAAATAGTACTGTAAAAAGACATACTTTTTTTTTTTTTTTTTTGATCCCCTGCACCGTGTGAAATGCAAGACCCGTGTACTTGCGTCTTAGAAAACCTCACAGTGTATTATAAGAAATTGGATTTAACAAAACATGATAATGGTAAAAGAAAATTGAAATGATCCTAAGAGGTGTCTATTTTGTAATCCCTTCTGAGAGAATTAGCCACATCACTGTGTAGTCATTTTAGGAATCAGCAGTGGAACTCTACTATATAAACCAATTGTTGTTGTTGTTGTTGTTATATGCCGTCGAGTCGACCCCGACTCATAGCGACCCCTCCTTTGGTTTCCTAGGCAGTATCACTATGGAAGTAGGATTGCCCAACCTTCCTTCCAAGGAGTGGCTGGTGGGTTTGAACCGCCAGCCTTCTGGTTAGCAGTCAGGTGCCTTAGGCACTATGCTACCAGAGCTCCTATAAACCAATATTAAACTAAAATGCTTGTTTTTTAGTTGCATTCGTGTATCATTCCTTTTCCTCTACTCATTTGAAAATGTTTCTAAACTTAAACTTCTTGGCTTTTCCAGGGGTGCAGTGAAATTTTATTTTTTTCTGGAAAAACTTTTTCTGTTAAGTCTTTTAAAACTGCAACCTAAAAATGGCTTCTAAAAGAGCCCTGGTCATCTTGGCCAAGGGAGCCGAGGAGATGGAGACTGTCATCCCTGTGGATGTCATGAGAAGAGCTGGAGTAAGTGTCCCTGCATACCCCTCTATACCCCCCCTCACCCCCTACCCCCAATGGCAGGGTAATCCTCCCCCTCCCCTTTGAAATTATTGTTGGATTTGTAACACAGTTTGAATAATATAATAGTCAAAGTACTAAAAAAACCCAAACTCAACGCTCTCGAGTTGATTCTGACTTACAGTGATCCCTATTGGGTTTCTGAGGTTCTGAGGTGGTAAATCTTTATGGAAGTAGATTGTCCCATTTTCCTTCCATGGAGTGGCGGCTGGTGGTTTTGAACTGCCAACCTTGTCGTTAGCAGTCCAATGCCTTAGGCAAGGTGCCACCAGAACTCATTATTCAGAGTACTAGATGAGCTATTTCAAACCTACACGGAAGTACAGACACTCTAATAAATACTCATTTATCGAACTAACTATGAGAGCAGATTGACAACAGGAACTTGAAAGGATGGATGAGAAGCGTGGTGGGAGGCAGGGAGTGTGTTGATGATGATGAAATAGTTAAAAGGTTGTGGAGAAAGGTGGCCTAGAAGAATGTGACTACTGACCCTGAATTGTATATGCAGAAATTGTTGAAGTGGTGTATGTGTTGCTGTGTATGTTTTCACCAAAAGAAACCCAAAACACATTTACTGCCTATATTTAATACTTGTTACCATTTTGCCATATTTTAGACTCGTTTCTTAAAGAACAAATGCTTTAAATAAATAAAATTGAAACTTCTTTCTTCTTTTTCCAATCCTGTTCTCTCTGTCCTCAAATTGATTTGTATCCATCCCATGCATGTCTTTAAAGTAGCCTTAGTCTATAGCTCTCATTCTGCATGTTCTTCCATATTGCTACCTAAGGATAGAGAACATTAAGGTAATGCTGTGTGCCAGGTGTCCTCTAAGCACTTACTTACATGAACTTGTTTAAACTTTTCAACAGCCTTGATTTAAGTATTGCCATTCCTTTTACAGTGGAAGAAACTGAGGCACAGATACACAAAATAACATTCTGATGGTTACAGTTACTGAGTAAGAGTCAGCACTCAGTTCAGAGCCAGGGACTGTGCACCCCCCTCCTCCCAGTCTAATTAATTCTTATACTCTTCTGACTCTCAAATGTAGATACCCATTGATCCAGTTTATTCATTTAAAACTGCTGCTTGGTCTCACACTCTGTGAACATTCCACATCTATTACATTGCTTCTAATGACAGTATTAGAATACTGTAAATATTAGAATACAATAAATATTGTCGTGCAGGTTTCCGTGTGCAAATGTGTGGAGGTTTTTCCAGAGTGTATACCTAAATGTGGAGTAGCAGAATTGCTAGGCTTAAGGATATCATCAGTCTTACTAGGTTTTGCGAAATTGCCCTTTAACTCACTGCCATTGAGTCAATTCCTACTCATAGTGACTAGAGCTGTGCTAGGGTTTCCAAGGCTGTAAGTGTTTACCTAAGCAGACTGCCTCATCTTTCTCCTTTGAAGGGGCTGGTGGGTTTGAACTGCTGACCTTTAGATTAGCAGTTGAATGCTTTAACCGCTGTACTATCAGAGCTCCTGGCTACTCTTCAATGTATCAGTTTGTTGTTCACAGCAGTGTAAGAAAATTCCCAGCTCTTGATACCTCTTGTGAGGTTTAAGTCGCCACAGCAATCCTGCTAAATGGCTCATTAATAGGATGATCATGTAATTTATTGCCCAGACCAGAAAACTTTGGGGAAAAAGAACACTAATCTTATACATAAGATACCAGGACAGCAGCTGTAATTGGGGCTGTCCCAAGCAAACTGGGACAGACCTAGATACCAAATATATAAGCCAGTTTATTAGCTTAACTTCAGCATAGCTCTATTACAGTATTTCTTGCCAGATTATTTTAAAACACATGACAGCTGTGAAAATGTTACTCTAAATTTATGTTTCAGTGTTCTTAAATGTCACGATGTCATCTTCCTCCTAGATTAAGGTCATCGTTGCGGGCTTGGCTGGAAAAGACCCAGTACAGTGTAGCCGAGATGTTGTCATTTGTCCTGATGCCAGTCTTGAAGATGCAAAAAAAGAGGTTTGTTCTCCGTACTTGATATGTTTCTTCTCCGTTCCTTAATACATCTTCTTTATTAGTACTAATTTCTTGAAATGTCTTTAGACTACATCTAAGAAAGACTATTGTTCGTGGAGACTTATTGTAAGAAAGGTATTTTGCTTAGATATCTTCCCCTTTAAACCAAGTCCTGGTAGGATGACTTCACTTTTTCCCAGCCTGTATCCATAGCACTTGGTGAATGCCTGACACAACATGTGCTTTGTAAGTTGGATGGATGGTAGGTGGGTGGAAGGGTAGACAGGAGAATAGGTAGATGGATAGATGGATGCATGGTTGAGTAGAAGGATGGGTGGATGAATGAGTGGGTGGGTGGATGGAGAGACAGATGTATGGTTGGATAGAGGGACGGGTGGGCAGACGGGTGGGTGTGAGGACTGCTCTTCCATCATCATTCTTTTTTTTAGCAGTATAATACGTCCTTTATTTATTTACTTATTTTTCTCTCTCTCTTTTTGTTTTAATTTTAAAAGCTTGTTTTACGTTCAACGTCATGCATACATTTAGTTTCATTACCCATTTGCCATGTCCAACCCTAACCCAGCCTCCTCCCCTCCCTATCCTGCAACCCTCCCCTTGTGCCCCTCATAATTATGCACTTCTGTTTGTCCTGCATTTCCTCAGTTTGAATGTTGGTCCTTTGGTGTCTCATGGTCTATTGCTCTAAGGGATGTATTATTACCATTGAGTGTGTGGGTATCCTGGGTTGAGTGGTCTGCGTGTACATCTTGTTAACTGTTGGGCTGAGAGCCTGCCCCTGGGGGTGAGTTTTATTCCAGGTGCTGAATGTATTTCAGGGCCATAGTATTGGGAGTCTCCCCAGACTTCATCTGACCAGTAATTCTGGTCATTATTGAGTTTTTGGATTTTGTTCCACATTTTCCCTCCCACTCTATCCAGGATCTTCAGATTTGATCCTTTCCTGAGTAGTTGGCATTGGTAGCCAGGCACCATCCATTTCTTCTGGTCTCGAGGGCCATCGTGTCCTAGGGTTGATTGCTTCTAAATGCCCTTTTTTATGTGTGTGTGTGCATTCTTCTTCACTTCCGATGCTAGGAGACCATTAGCTCCATCTTAGATTGCTGCTTGAAAGCTTTTAAGACCCCAGTCGCTACTCACCAATGTAGGATGTGGAGCAATGCTTTTATGTATTTTATTGTGCCATTGAGTCTGGTGTCCACCAGTACTATGGTCCTGAGGTAGTAGCTCTATTGGATCTCTCTCCCATAGTGTTGGGATGTCTGTGAGGTATTACTCTGTGTCTGTCTTCTGTTGTTTCTGTAAGAACTGCAGGTATTTTGTATCACTGGTGTCTGTACAAGATTAACCTCAGCTGAGTCTATCCTTGGTCTCAAGTGTACCTCTATCTATTCACTGACCCCTGTCTGATCATCTCAGGTGTTTATGTGTTTATCTGTATAGCCTAATGTTTGGTGTTAATGGCGATGTGATAACATTGGGAAATGAGAGGACACCAAACTGCACATAAGAGATAGACGACAGATGCTAAAAACCAACCAGTGTGTCCACAATACCACAATTCCCATCATCATTCTTGCTTACACAGACAGCTTTGTCTTCTATTATAACTTTGTTACTTTATATGTAAAGAATAAAGCTCTACCTTACCATTAATTTCTTGCTCTTTATTCTAAAGCTGCTTTTGTCACACCCCTTTTCAGTGGGGTATAGTGGTATAGTAGGTAGGCATTTGGCTGCTGACCAAAAGGTCAGTGGTTCAAACCCACCAGCTATTTTACCAAAGAACGATGAAGCAGTCAGCTTCCGTAAAGATTGACAGTCTTGGAAACCCAATGGGGGTCACTATGAGTCAGAATCAACTTAATGACAGTGAGTGTGGTTTTTGATTTCAGTGGCACAGACGTAGTTAGGTGACTGGTTTACCTGGAACAACTCATACTGTAATAGTGGTTGGATTAAGGGAGGCATAAGGTTTCTACTTAAATTGTGTAACTTTTTCAGTGTCTTCAGAATTATGATTCTTAACCTTTGAATATGACACATACTTTGGGGACTCTCTGAAGAGCTGGGTTCCTTTCCCCAGAAGCCTGCCCTTTCTCCAGCACAGTAGGTGATGAGTTGAAACAGCCAACATTTTGGTTAGCACTGGAGTGCTTTAACCACCTTGTCACCAGGGTTCCTTTGTTGCACTAAATAGGTACTAAATATATTAAATATTTGTTTTGCAATTGGCTGAATGACTGACAGGTTTTGAACTACTCAGAGTGGCAGTAAACCAATTTCCGTTTTGTAATTTCAGCAAGTTTGAAATTACTACAGGGTTCTAGGCTGTTTTTGAGGTACTTAAATCTTGTGTCATTTTCTCTCCAAGTTCTCTTGTTCATAAAATTTAAACTCAGTGGCTTTTACTTAAAATTAGCTTTTCTTTTAATTTTTTTGGGGGGAGCTAGGTATATTCTAGCCCCCCCTCACAAAAAACAAATATTTAGTACCTATTTAGTACAACAGAAGAACCCTGGTGATAAGGTGTTTAAAGCACTCCAGTGTTAACCAAAAAGTCAGGAGTTTCAACTCATCAGCTACTGTGCTGGTGAAAGGGCAGGCTTCTGGGGGAAGGAACCCAGCTCTTCAGAGTCCCCAAAGTATGTGTCATCTTCAAAGGTTAAGAATCATAATTCTGAAGACTTTGAAAAAGTTACACAATTTAAGTAGAAACCTTACCCCTCCCTTAATCCAACCACTATTACAGTATGAAAAATTCACTTATAAATGGTGTATCTTTGAGCATCTGTATACACATACTTATGTCAGTGGGATGTATGGATAAAATATACACCTCTGTACATGCACACACTTTTTTTTTCTTTTTTGACTAAAATGAGATCACATTATACCTGCTATTCTGCAACATGGACATCATTTCATGTTGCCATGTACAAATTTTCCACATTTTTTTTTTTCTAATTACAACAGCATTCCATTATGTGGACACATCTTCCTTTATTTGACACTGTTCTAGTCACAGGTGTTAAGATTATCTCGTGTATTTTGCTTGTGTCCTACATTTAAAATATGAAGAAGCTACTGGACTATCTCTTTAATGCACATTTAAAACGAAATGTTTTCACTTTTCTATTTTTTAAATTGTTACAGGGACCATTTGACGTGGTGGTTCTGCCAGGAGGTAATCTGGGTGCACAGAATTTATCTGAGGTACAAGCTCTAAAGAACGTGTTTCAACATCTGCATGTGTTCTGTTGATTTTGATATTATCCACATATTTCAGCAAGGAAGCTGTGAATAAAATAGGAAGAAGTGAAATTAGCAGAGTAGTGTTCTGGCCTTAATTTTATTTTTAAAAATGTCAGATTACTTATTATAGATGCAGGCTGAGTTAATGGTGTTTATGAACAGAATCAATGAATACAGTCCAAATCTAAGATTATAAATGTTTTCCCCCAGCAGAAGAATGATCTAATTTTGTATCTTGTGAAGGTTAAGCGTGGAAAGATGAGGGATCTACTATCTGTTCACTAATGAAGAGCTGGGGAGAAAAGTGTGTCAGAGCTGCCAGCTTCACTTATAAATGGCATCAGAAGAAGCCACTGCTTCTTCATTTTAAGTCTTAAGTGAAGAGTCTGCCTGCAGTGCCTGGTAAAACCCCCGAGACTATGGCCCCTCGTTGCCCTTCAGGCCTGGAATTGAACTCACTCCCATGGCTTCCAGCAGAATAGTAGACAAGCCTATAGGGTGAATATTCATGCCCGGTAGATAGGCTCCTTAGAACGATCAAGCATGGAAGAGAAGGGCAGTGTTTGCACAGGGAGACAGCTCAAGGGGCAGGAAAGCATAGTAAAGAAGTACACAGAGAAGAGGTAACTACAGGGAGGAAATGGAAAGAGAGCCATTACATTGTGGGGATTGCAGGCAACAAAATGTGTATGAACTGCTATATGGAAAATGAATTTGCTCTAGAACTTTTACCCAAATCACAATAAAAATTAAAAAGGGGGAAAAAAAAGTCAACAGCAGGTGGACTCCCTGGGTACAAGTGATGAATGCCTCTGGCTCCCAACTAAAAGGTTAGAGGTTGAACCTAGAGGCGCCTCAGAAGAAAGGCCTGGTGGTCTACTTCCAAGAACTCAGCGTTGGAAACTGTGGAGCACAGTTGTGCTGTGACACACGTGGAGCGCCCAGGAGTCAGTCAGTCATTGGCCACTGGTGCTGACTGGTGCTGCCGGCAGGAACGAGGGGGAAGGAGGAGCAGGACAGCAGAGGAAACTCGCGGCAGGTCATGTCTGATACTTGGATTGTGTCCTGCTGGATTATGTTCCTGACTCTACCATCTGAAAACACACAGGCCACCACATTCCCTCCCTTTTAGTTTTCTTCCAGAAATACACAATGGCTAGGGTCAGGTGTACCCAAAGGACATTGCTCTTTTCTTCTTATCTTTTAAGTGTAGAAGAATGTCTTACTACAATCAATGCCTTGATGAGGTGGAAGAATGTAGAAACATGAATTTGCTAACTGTTAATGATACAGAAATATTATTGAAAAAATAGATTAGAGGTCTTGTGGTTTATGCTAAAATCAGCTTCTACCAAAGCTGTCTAGAGAGAGATTTGCCTGTGGCTTAATGACAGTTCATTGTGTTTGGTTTTCTTTGGACAGTCTCCTGCTGTGAGAGAGATACTGAAGGAACAACAGAACAGTAAGAGACTCATCGCTGCCATCTGTGCAGGTAATGTCAGGGCCGTCCTGGTTGCAACGTCTTGTTGATTTTCTTCCAAAATTTGATGGGGTGACCTTTATGATGAGGTTTCATTCTGAAGAGTTCTCCCCTTTATAGTGCAAACTGCATCTGTTTTGGTGCCTTTCGTTTGAGTAGCAAGAAGTAGGTGCCATTTTAGAAACATGCATGGTGGTTCTGTTTTCTGCCTTTCCGTGCCTCTGGCCTGCATTCTGTGAAACTTAACATTTTCCATGTTTGGTTGACCTCAGAGGAAAACAGGGCCCTCTGGAATTCAGTAAACAGCTTGTTATAGCACGTCTCTGTGCCAGAAAGGATGTCTGCCAGCACACAGTCAGCAGGAATCTCAGACATAAACATTACAGCTCTGCCCTGAGCCTGCCCTGCAGATGCAGGGGCCTGATGGTACTTACCTCCCACCTTCCAGAGCAGGGTCTGCTTCTCACTGCAGTGCTAGATCTCCAGCACTGTGTTAATTGCATCTGTCATTCACACCACAGTGACATCATTTGGCTTCATCAATGGCCCCACATCTTTGACAGTTAATAGTTTGTTTTCTGATATGGTTTGGAACATCTGTTTTTGTGACCTTTGTATTAAGTGATGTGCTGTCTTACATTTTTTCCATTGTGTAATTTGTACCATTGCCTTTGTTGTTACATGTCTATGAATGAATGACTGGTTTGATAAAATGGCAGATTAGTGTTTCATTCACTTCAAAAGACTTTAAGAATACGCTAAGGTTGAGTTGATTCTGACTCATAGCGATCCCTCCTTGGGTTTCCGAGGCGGTAAATCTCTACGGAAGTAGATTGCCCGATTTTCCTTCCATGGAGTGGCTGGTGGGTTTGAACCACCAACCTTCTGGTAGTCACATGCCTTAGGCATGATGCCACCAGAGCTCCTTGAAGTGTGGGGACTCTAGGGATTATGCATTGGAGCAGTGGTTGTCATAGTTCTTTTAAAGGGTTGGCAAGGTCAAAACAAATAATGCTAAGATGTTATTTGCCATTTTTACCCATTCCCTGAGAAGTGCACATTGGGGTATGGAGGTGCCATCATTCAGGCTTGGCCTGTGTACTTGTACTTGTGTATTCTTGTGTTTTAAATTTTTCTCAGTTTTAACTTCTGACACAGTAGATGTTCATAGATGTAAACCCACCATGAGAGTTAAAAGGGTCCTGAGACCCCAGTGTTTAAGAGCTGTATTACTGACCACCTTTGTAAGCCCTGCCTTGGTTTCCATTTGACACTAGCCTTCTGACAGGCGGGCACAGGTTCATTTTTGCTGCATCCCTCATTCTTTGGTTCTTTTGACCAGAGGAAGAAAGTTGGGTGTCTTAGTTTCTTATTGCTGCTATTGCAAAAATATCACAAGTGTATGGGTTTAACAGTTATTTTCTCACAGTTTAGAAGGCTGGATGTCTGAATTCAGGTTCTGGGGGAAGGGGCTCAGGAATTCTGAGATTCCTGCTGACTATGTGCTGGCAGGTTCTCTTGGCTCTGGAGGGAGATCCTTGTCTCCTTCAGCTTCTCTCCCTCCATTCCTTCGGCATCTTCATGTGACGTGTTTCTTCCCCTCTGTCTCTGCTTGCTTCTCTGGGCCTAAGCTGCTACTTCTATATCTCAGAAGTGATTGGTTTAAGACATAACCTACACTGATATAGCCACATTAACATAACAAAGAAAACCTATTCCCAGATGGGTTCTATCCACAGATACAGGGGTTAGGGGTTATTACATGTTGGGGGCTCACAGTTCAATCCACAACATAGGATTTATGCTGGGTGTGTTCCCTTAGGACTCTGCTGAAATTGAAAATGCCAGGTCAGTCCTCCTGTGTCACTTAGGCAACAAAGTGATCACTCACATCTGATTCACTCTTTTGTGTTGAGGCAAGCATGGTGCCCTCAGCGGTGTCGTTCTCTGGAGCTTAGACCATCCAGAATTTCAAATCTGCATTTGAAAATACACCAACATTCTAACAATGTATACACAACGTAACTCACTGCCATTGAGGTTGGATACGACTCATAGCGACCCGTCTTTGGGTTTCCGAGGCGGTATCACTACGGAAGTAGATTGCCCAACCTTCCTTCCGAGGAGTGGCTGGTGGATTTGAACCGTCAGCCTTCTGGTTAGCAATCAAATGCCTTAGGCACTATGCCACCAGAGCTAGTACCGTTAAATATCCATGTTTCTGCAGCACTGTTCTGGGGCCTGCAAAAAATAGGAAACAAAACTCCTGATGAATAAGTTGTAGTAACTCAGGTGTGAGATGAGAGTGGTAGGAGTGGAATAGAAGGATAATGGAAGAGGTTCAGATGTTTTAAATTGGCAAATGAGAAATAAGTTGGTGATTAAATGTGGTTAGGAGTTGGGAACTAGTTTATTGAACTGAAAAAATCAAAAGGTTTAGTTTAGCCCCAAATATTGAGTGTGCGAGAAGGAGAGAAACTGGAAGGGAGACTGTCTTGGGAATAAACAAAATGAGACTGGTTAGGCCTGGGGAGGAAGCTTCCAGGTGAAGGAGTGGGCAGTTGCCTCATGCTCTGGGGTGGGAGGAAAAAGTCAGCCTGGGAGCTCTGTGTACCTTTTCTAAGTAACCACAAGGTGGTGCTGTTGACTTTGGCCTCTTGACTGCAAAAAGGGATTCAGTCAACTTTACCCCCAGGAAAAGGAGAAAAGCCTTGTACTTGTACAGTGATGGATCTCTTCTGTCTGCGCAGACCTGACGCTGGAGGATAGACTCCACAACATTTTTTTATCAATCAGAATTTCAAGTAATGTTGTTGATAGGTGCCTTTGAGTTGATTTTCAACTTATCACCATGCCATGTGTCAGAGTAGAACTGCTCCATAGGGTTTTCTAGGCTGTAATCTTTATGGGAACTGATTTCTGGGTCTTTCTCTCCTGAAGTCTTAGGGTGAGTTCCTTTGGGTTAGCAGCCAAGTACTTAATCCTTGTGCCATTTAAAAAAAAAACAAAACAAAAAACCCACTGCCATTGTGTGGATTCTGGACTCATAGTCACCCCCATTGGGTTTCCAAGACTATAAATCTTTATGGAAGTAGATTGCCTCATCTTCCTCCCGCTGAGCAGCTGGTGGATTTGCACCACTGACCTTCTGGTTAGCAACCAAATGCCTTACTCGCTCTGCTACCAGAGCTCCTTTGGGCTCCTCAAATAGTAGGAGTTTTTAAATATCTCCTCTGTAATTCTTCCAATCAAATTTCTAAGTCTCAGAAAGCAATAATTAAGGGCTTACCATGGTGATTACGGCATCAGCAAATTCCTAAATCCCAACAATAGCATAAATTTACTAACATTACTGCATGTAGCAGTTTTATCACCTGGAGGTGATCATCGCCATTCAATCAATTCTGGCTCATAGAGACCCTGTGTATGACAGGATGAAACACTGCTTGGTCCTGCACCATCCTCACAATCATTGCTACGTTTGACCCCATTGGTGCAGCCACGTGTCCATCCATCTCGTTGAAGGTCGTCTTTTTCCACTGACCCTCTACTTCATCAAGGATGATGTCCTTCTCCGGGGACTGCACACTCCTGATCACATGTCCAGAGAAGGTGAGGCCAAGTCTTGCCATCCTGCTTTCTAAGGAGCATTCTGGCTGCACTTCTTCCAGGACAGATTTGTTCGTTCTTCTGGCAGGCCATGGTTCTTCACCAACACCACAATTCAGAGGCATCAGTTCGTCTTTAATCTTCCTTATTTGTTGTCTAGCTCTTGCTTGCATATGAGACAATTGAAAACACCATGGCTTGGGTGAGACACACTTTAATCCTCAAAATGATATCTTTGCTTTTTTGTTTTTAAAAAAATTTTTTTTTTAGATTTGGATGAAAGTTTACAGTTGTTATTGTTGTTGTTGTGTGCCGTCAAGTCAGACCTGACTCATAGCGACCCCTCCTTGTGTTTCCGAGGTAGTATCTCTACGGAAGTAGATTGCCCAACCTTCCTTCTGAGGAGTGGCTGATGGGTTTGAACCGCCAGCCTTCTGGTTAGCAGTCACATGCCTTAGGCACTACATTACCAGAGTTTATTCATTTTCCTTACAACAGTTCATACACACTTTTGTTTCGTGACGTTGACTGCAATTCCCCACAATGTAATGGTTCTTTTCCCACTTCTTCCCTGTAGTTACCTCTTCCCTGGGTCCTTCTTTTACATTCCTGACCTTTAAGGTATCTCCTTGTGTAAACACCCTTCTATTCTCCCATGATTGATCACTGATCGCTCTAAGGAATGTATCTACCTGATGTAAATGTTCACCCTATATAAGTGAGTTCAGTTCCAGACCTGAAGGGTAATTAGGGGTGATAGTCTCAGTGGTCTTACCAGGCTTTATCAGACCAGTGAAAATGGTCTTTTTTTTTTTTTTTTTTTCCATGATTTTGAGTTTTGTCCCACATTGTTCTTCCACTCTGTTCAGGATTTCCTGCATTGATCCCTTTCCAAGTGGTTGACAGTGGTAGCCAGGCACCATCTAGTTCTCATCTCATAGTCATATAGGCTGAAGATCACATGGTCTGCTAGTCACAGGGACTAATTGTTTCCATGCATCTCTAGTTTTCTTCATTCTTCTTTGCTCTGCATGAGGAGAGACCCGTTGTTGCATCTACATGGCCGCTTGCAAGCTTTTAATACCTCAGTTGCTACTCACAAAGTTGGATGTAGAACATTGTTTTTGTGTAGTATGTTACGCCAGTTGAGCTTGATGCAACCATGGTCCCAAGCCCACAGGTCCAACTACTTGTTCCCTCAGGGTGGTTGGCTGTGGCCAAGAAATTGTCATAACTTTGCCCCTTGTCAGCTCTGTTATATATTTGGACATTTTTACAACACATGCAGATACATATGTAGAAATATCATCTGCCAGCCTTATATATGGGTATGGGTACATTTTCTTTTGCCTAGACATACCTGATCATTCAGCCTGTCTGCCCATTTATTACCTGTAGGTTAA